TGGTACACAAAGAGCGTTTCTGTGAAATTGTCTACTTGCGATGATACAGCTGTGAAAAACGTATTAACTATGATTTCAGATGTCTAATGATATTAGCTCCAAAGTGGCGGTCTTGTTATCGAAGATTTTATTTTAAGAACTGTGAGCCGACAGGCCGACGAACAACCCGCGTTGTTACCAAGTCAACTTAGGAAATTTAATGGAAGTAGTTTATAAAATGATAACGAAGTGAAGATTTTGTTTCAATCGAGAACTTTAATGTTGATCTATCATTAATAGTAGTTTATGGTGTTTCTTTGTTTTTTTGACTGAACAATGTTAATCATCCCTCCTTTAGAATATTAGATTTTTCTTAGTGATAGTAATAGTAATCAAAGTTTAATGTCTTTACGTGGGGCATGGTTACCCATATTGCCCGAGCCATAGGCTCATGTATGAAACGCAAGACAACAACCCACCCCAGGGGAGGATATCCATCACACAGTAATCTCGTGCGTGGGCAATTAACGTCTCCTACCCCTAACCCTGCAGGAGACGGGACCTCCATTTATTCGTTTCTATCCGAGAAGACTAGAATATCTAAACCATTTCTTGATGTCAGCATATTCTTCTCAATTATTTTAAAACCTTGAGTGTTGGTCCGGCCGGGGCTCGAACCCTCGACCTCCCGCACATCAGTCCAACGCTCTATCCATTGAGCTAACCGGGAGGCTAGCTCATTAAAATAAAAAAGTAGTTTTCCACGCCTCTTTGATAACTTGCAAACTCTGAGGCTCAGAGCCAGCTATCTAATGGCAAAAGGAAGTGAAAAAAAAAAAAACCGAAATCGTCCAATAACAATTCAGGACAGACTCGAATGAAAAATCATATCCAGAGATGCGCATCGTGATGGATGGCAGCGTATAAAGGAACTCCTAATGATAGATCTATCTACCACTTCGTAGTTCGCAAGGTTTTTGTAGCTTTTGCCTCCTTTATAATAGCACGGGCCTCTCAAGCGCATGTCTCGAGGAAAAGCGAAAGATTATTTCATGAAAGCGTCACGCGTTTTGTGGGACGGTGTTTTGTTACGCGAGGAATCGGTTGAGAATTTGAGTGCGATGTAAGGTATAGTATGGGGACCGAAATATGGTCTATTTACAACACCAAAAAAAAAACGCCTATTGAGCCGCTAAGGGGCTTTTCAGCCACAATGTAAACTGACTAAGTGCTTAAAAATCCCCACTGGCAGGAGGCAGACCAATAGGCTATTTACAGAGTGCAGCCGAGGAGTTGAACTAGGGGCAAACGCGAACAAATCCAGTGCGTGGCAGGGTGGAGGACTCGAACCCGGGACACCGGATTACAATTCCAGTACCCAAACCACTCGGCCACGCCGCTTCCTCCAATACGCCGAATAATGAACATTGGGTTAAGTATTGTACAAAAATCGACCGTACCACTCTCTTGCACGGCCGGGGGGAAACATTGCAAGTTACAAGAAGGAAATCTATAGCGAAAGGTTGTTTCAACTTACGTCCAAAACAACGGTTTTGGAGAAGGTTCAACGCTTTTTGCCGCGTAAATGGATTAAGATAGTGTTGATACAAGGTAGGTGTAAGTTTTAGTTGGAATTACCACGAAATATGTTATAAAATATACCGATAAACTTCTGTCCTTGCGTAAGGTCTATTGTGAACTCAATCGATCACTACTTTCACTGAGTGAGGCTCCCATCTTCTTGCACGGTCTACGTGCAGCTTAACGGCATGTTACAATTACATTCATTTCTTATTGAGAGATAGGGCAACATGTAATTGATCAACAACCGTCTAATTTTGGTAGATTTGAGATTGTGTCTGATTAAGATGAATTATATCCCCGACTTTCCTGTTGTATGTACAAAACACTCTGAATTCGTGATACTCGCAAATCAACTACAACAATGGGAAAAAAATAGGAAAATGATGATTAAGTCGTCTTGGATAAATGTTATAGCATTTGGATCGCTGCAGCGGTGGAAAAATGGAGACTTCCTTCAAAATGACATATCAAATTTTTCCTATGTACACAAACGTTACAACCTTACACCTGTTAATTCGTATGTAAGCTTTTTTTAGAAAAACATCTAAGGCTAAACTGACTTAAAGGAAACGTTGTGGTATTAAAGAGAGACTTGTAAGAGCAACTTTCAGGACATGGGTCGACGTTAGTTTCAAATTGCTTACAAAGTGATAAAGAAGTATCCGACTTTTCAAAGTCAATAGGCGCTCACATTAATGAAAAAATCTCAAACAAGCGAATCGCAATTCAATCTAAAAAATCTGGAAATTAAAGCCTGGATCCATACCAAGCAGACGTTTTTGGCGTGAAGTGGTTACAGGGCAGAGACCAGAAAAGAACAATAACCAGAGCCCGAGTGACTCCGCAATTTTGATTTAAGAGTTCCAAAGAAGTTCACTTTGAAAGCTCACCAATTTGCTGAATTGATTTGAGATGAAAGTAAATCTGGTGTGTCATCCAATTCTGACATATGTCTTTTCTCTTAAGTCTACTTTCGACGACAAACGTCTACTGTAGGTAAAAAAAACTTGCCAGAAAAAAAAAAATAAATAAGCCGCTGCAAACCACAATAGAAATGAATCTAAAACATTTCCTATCTCAGACCTGAACTGTTTTTTAACACGACGTTTCACTAATTGATATTTTTGCGCCTGGAAAGGGTCAAGTAAACTCAGTTTTCTTAAAAAAAAAAA